GTACGGAGATCTTCTTTAGATACTAAATTGAATCAAAATGTTATATTAACCAAGACTTGTCCTAATACTATTTAATAACATATTTGTCGTAATCATCAATGCACTCATAGTTTACAAAAGCAATGCTATATATTATTTGTTTTTTAAGATTTACTTGTGTCAACTGTATCTTTTTTTAATGATATTCCAATAACATGTGTTGTTAAATCAACTCGATCATATGATAGAAGATTCCATTGAGAAAAAAATTCTCGTATATTTGCTGTTGTACATGTGTCAGGATGTGTAATATAAAAAACACATGATCGATCAGGCAAATCTTTACAAAAAAAGAATATATATTATAGAATTAAATCGCATAGATTTACCATCATCATTAAGTATATCAGAATATTTAAGATCAAATGAACGCATATAAAATAATCTAAAGAAAATTTTTGCGTATAGTAATTTCTAAAGATATTTAACTTACTTTCCAAGAAATTTACTAATTATTACATGTTCTATTGGATTGCCTATAAATTTTGTTTGTTCAGCTTTAAAAAGAAAATTTAAATAAAAAATTATTTTTGAGATCGTTTCTTTTACCAATATATGTCATCATTTTAGTCATAATAACAGCTGTACAAGTTGCATCATAACCAGCTGTATGTTCATGTTCACTTGAGGCATATCTGAAATCACTTGGCGTTTCTAAAAAAAAGAAGAAAGATAAATAACGCAAAAATTTCGAATTTTTCCATACCAAAACGACATGCTGGAAATGATGGTTCACGAATTGTTTTATAAATAGCATTTAGTGCTGTATTGGAAATAATATTCTAGTTAATGAAAAAGATTATTTCAACATAGATAAAATGATTTTACTTGAAAGATTGATGTCGATGCAATTGTTTTTGTATCGATTAATCTTAAAAAAACAAATTAAACGAATGAATAATTATTTTAATAGATTTACTTTGGAAATAAAGATTTAATTATTGATTTATAATCTTCATAATTCTAAAATAAAGAATTAATTATTAAAAATAAAATAAAATCAACATACAGAAGGTATTGGTGTGAAAAATTGATTAATTATATGTAGAATATCCATGTGAAGATTATGTCCGATCACAGGTTTTCCCTAAAAAAAAAACAAAAGAAGTGTTTTTTGTTAATTATGTCATATTATCAGGTAAGCAAAAATTCTAAAATGTAAACATGTAGTGAAGAATTGATAATGAATTTCATTGCGATGCGTCTAACTATGGTACTGATTGATTATTTAATGATCTGTTTCATTTTGAATTATCTTATAAATAAAGAGTTGCGGGTTTGGGCAAGCCCACAGCTCTTTACTTATGAAGCAAAATTCTTAGATGAAAATATCATTTTAGTATATTCGATTATATCCGAATGTTTAGTTTTATCAAAGATCGGAAAGCAGTATAATCATCCTCAGATTGTAAGGTTTCTTGCAAAGGTCAAAAGAACGACTTACTCTAATAACGCCGAAAGTCAAAATGTCGAACAATATAAATATCGAATAGTAGAAATATCCGAATGTTGGTGTGGGTAAAGGTGCGGATATCAGGGTTGAGTGAATGTAGTAACCACACCCACACCCTGAAGATGCTTTTACTTTAATGGAGAAGATTTTTTCGGTCATTTTACATTTTGGCATTTTTTTTCCGACATGTTTATCATTCGGTATTTTTTAGCGAATTTTTTCGATATTTTCAGCGTTCGACATTTTGTTTTTGATCAAATTAGGGTTAACCAGAAGGACTTATAAACACTCTTAGTCCCATACATTATCATGTTACAAACTAAACATTATTCTTGCAATAATCATAATAGAAAAATATCATTTTGTGAAGAAGTCTATTCTGTCAATATTTCAGTTATCTGATATCTATTTATCAAATAAAGCTGAATAGAAAAGCTATTGCTATGTTCATCAGTTCATATTAATATTTCTGAAATGAAAACAGTAGTTTTATTCTTTATCTTTTTACTAGATTAAGATTAAGAAGATTTAGTTCCATGCTTTTGAATAAACATAGATGTATTATATTGATACAAATAGTTATTTTTTCGTCTCAGTTACACTTTGCCCGCATGTCTGAATTAATCAGTCATATATTTATCTTTAAACTCCATATTGCGACGTTAGAATTTTTAGAAATTATTAATCTTCATCAATAGAATTACTTACAGATTCTTGTAATTTCCTAAATAAAACCAAACATAATTTTATTTTAAAACAATAAAAATAAATTTTTTTAAACATACCACATAACTTCCGAAAATCCTGTCATTGATTTACTTAATAATTCTGCATCTGATATATTAGTTCCTTCAGATTGTTTTGGTGAATTCGTTGTTGTTGTTGCTTCAAGTTTCCTTCAATAAGAAAAAACAAATTATTGACCGTTTTTTCTACGAAAAATATGAACTTTTTTACTTTTCATTTGTATTACCATTTGGCATCTGACGATTATTGCGACGAGATAATGATAATTGTGGATTTCGTAATTTATCTAAATATGTTGTTTTACATACAAAAGGAATTCCTAAAAGAAAATAAATCGAATACATACAAATAGATTTACATTGAAATATATACCTTTGAGAAATAATTGAGCGAAATCAAAACGATTAGCGGCTAAAAATTGTAATGATGAACTCTATAATATATAAAATATAATTATTTTTCATGAAATAAAAATTTTAACTTTTTACTTTAGAGCGAAAATCAAATGCATCAAATTCATTTTCAGGAAATAAATAAAAATTATAAGCTTTCAATGAATATCTAATACATATTATAAAATATAAAGATTGATTATTATTTGTATTTACCGATTTTCTTCTGGATTTAGACATCGAACCATTGCAAGACCAACTTGGATCATTAGATAATGTCTATCGCACTAAAATATAAGCATTAATAATTTTTTAAACATTTAATCTAAGAGATTTACATCATAATGGCGTTTGTATCGTTCAGTTGGTGTATCAAAATAATTCATTTTATCAAATGGTAATATTCCTGTAAATTCACCATCCATTGCTACATAATCAGCATCATTTATATCTTTTAAAATTTCTGGTAAAACATCATAAAAATCTAAATGAATAAAAATGTTTTTCATTTCAAAATTTATTTTAATATTTAAAATTTACTTACTATCTCGATTAACATCCATTAATTGATCAAATTAATATTTTTCTATGTAGCAAATATCTGGAATAGAAAGTAATTCTACATTAGTTTTTTTACTTTCCAAATGATGTCACAATCAAAACGATTGCGACATAACTTTTGCGTTCTCCGTACAATCGGTGTTTTCACATGTAATATTCTCACTACACCTATATATAAATAAAAGCCGTTCGATCAAATAGAAATACATTAGCAAAAAGAAGTAAAAACAGGTAAGTGAAATTTTTTTATTTAAATCAATATGATGAAATAGTTTCAACGCTGATATATAAAAAAATCACAGTTATTAAATAAGATATATTATTAGAATATTGATTAAGTCCTTTAGTTCAATTATCATTGATCTCAAACATAATTAATCAATTGTATCGTTTCATTGAATTCTAAAATAAATATAAATCGAAATATTATTTTAAACATACATCCACACCTTTTATAAACTATTTTCAATATATTCACATAGAATATCTATTTATCCAGTATTAGAAGTATTTATAGTAGTTAGCACTAGAAATGTAGATTTTTCTTTTTGGTTAACTTTATTGAGGATTCACATAATTTGTCATCTTAACTAATAATGAAAAATAATGCAAACTGAATCACTCGTTTTTCCTTTTACTATTATTATGTGTTCAAATATAAATTTTTTTACTCATGCATTCAAAATATATAGTTAAATGAATTCCCATGAGCACTCATCTTTTCTACTACACATATACTAAAATAGACAAGATAAAAGAACGTATATCTATTGATAATCATTCAACTGAAAAACTAAAATTAATACCTGTTCGTTTCTTTTTTTTGCAACACATTGTACATGTTAATCGTAATGATTTAAATCGATAAAGTTTCCTTCTAGTTTACATGTTAATAATGCATTATTCATAGAAATATATCGAGTTTTATTACAGACGATGATATATAATCGTCTAGATATTGCATCATGTTTATTAAATAACCTGTAACAAAAAGAGAAAAAAAAGGAAAAAAAAATTTTATTATTTGTTTTTTTTTCCAAATAGTTTATATGTATGTTTAAGGATAACATTAAAAAAAGAAGAACGAAATGTATGTATGGGAACATAAAATATATAATATTTTTTTTATGTCGAAAAGCTTGGTTGAAATTTTTATGTTTGGTTTTTTTTTTCTATATAAACGAGCGAAAAAAGAAGAAGACAACACCAAAAAGAACAAAAAAAAAATTTTTTTTGAGATTGTTTTAGTTAAGTAGATGTTTTAGTCGCCCGTGCACTGGGTTTTCGCGGTGATTCTTTTGCTGGTTGTTGTAAGGATTGTGATTGTTGTTGTGATTGTGATTGCGATTGTTGTTGATAAATAAGTACATAAGCGGATTTACTAATAACATTATTTTCATCGATATCTGTTACACACGAATCATCAAATGTATGCCATTTTTGATCATGAGTATTTTTTGCATGTGCTGTATAATGTCCACCACCTAAACCACCCATATGATTACTAACTGCAATAAGATCATATTTTGCATTAGCTTTTTCTGCTGGATTAAGAACAAAATTTGATAAATCTAAATCATATATAGGACAATCAATGAATAAATCAATTTTATCACGATAATGACGTGTATAATTAAAACGTTTCAATTGAACAATTAAAATTTTTGGTAATAACCATAAATCAATTTTTTTTGATGCATTTTTTAATTGTTTACATTTTGGACAATACCATTGATCGTTATCCGATAAAGTTTCTTTTGTTGTAAAATATTTAAAACAATCTAATAATGATGTTGTTGATTGTTTATGTTGACTACGTGTTTGTACACCACTATTATTTGTTGATGATGATGGTTGACGGTCTTTATCTATACGTTTTTTTTCGTCTTGTTCATATTTTTCAACAACTGAAGGTGAAACATCAACAACAAGAGTTGTATTTGTACGATTAAAATCAATATGTTCATCAAGACATGTGGATAATGTTTTAGTTGTTTGAGTATAATTTTGATTGAATACACATGAAGCAGTATAAGGAGATTTGTCCGATGGTAGAGATGATGATAATGAGAGAAAATTTCCAATTGAGCTCTAGAATAATATAGATTAAAATAATAAAGTTAACAATTTGAAAGAGAAATATTTCGATATTATTCTTTACGGACATTCGGCTGTTATCAAAAATAAGGATCAATCCAAATTTAATTATTCTCTAATCGAAAGAAGAATCTCATGCAATAGTCTAACGTCTTTAATAGATTACAATGGGTCATACACCGAGTTTATCATCGCTAAAAATCACGCGAATTGTTTCAAATATACTATAATTCTTTCATTATATAACAACCAATATGGACATCGATTCTTTTAAAAAAAGAAAATTTCTATAAAATATTCTATACATAAGATTCTTTAGTCTAGTTACTACTCCGCATTGTTTTTCTCCATAAAATTCTTACCTGTAATGCATCTTGAATATGTTTTCCTGTACATTTATGTCTTGGAATATTTAAATAAATTGGTAAACCAAAATTTTGATGTAAATTATCTGCTGTACGAAATAAACATGGCATAAGAATAGTTTCATTATTTTCTTTTTTTAATGAAACTGGTACTTCATAAAAAACGATTTGATCACGTTCAAGTATATTTGTTAATAATGCATCATCACTATATTGTAAATGTATACGATGATTATAAACTTCAACAGGTAAAATTAATTCTGGTTTAGGTTGATGTCCATCATAATCTGGTGCTAATGTTAAATCTTCTTCTTGTTCATCATCTTGATTATTTGAATTAATTGTATTTGATGATGATGATTCATCTTCAGCATCCATTGGTTCATGTGTATCATTTTTTTGTTTTGGTTGAAAACGTTCACAAAAATCTTTTAATAAATTATGCATACGTCCACGTTCATTTGATTTTATATAATAATATTTAATTTGTCCATTTAAACGTATATATTCTATTTTAAATATTCGAATTTTCTTCTTGTTTGGTAATGGTAAACTAAGAAAACAAATTGGATCAAATGTACGTCCTAGTGTTTTACATTCAAGACATTGTACAACTGATTTGATTTGTCCATGAAATATATCATGAATTTTTGATTGATTACGTTTACGATAATAATCCCAATATTCAGAAGCTAATTTTGCATCTTCAGCAATTCCATCATCATCTTTTTTTTCCATATAAGGTTTTTGTTTAATAAGATTTAAATCTTCATGTAAACCATCAAGTAAAAATGACATAAATTCTTGTGAATCTTGTTGTGAATAACCACTAAATTGTGGTGCATATCGTGCAACATTTTGTTTTAAAGATTTTGGTGCATAATAATTTATTTTGCCAGACCACATATTTGTTATTAAATCTCCATAAGCTTGTGCAACATCACCCTTCATACCTAATGGATTATCTCGATTAATATGTTGTAAATATTCTCGACGAAGAAAATAATCGGTTAATGCTGGTACATTTGATATACATTGTAATGCTGAATTCATAAAACATGTATTACCTAAATTTGATAAGCCACATAAACCAGGTGTATAAAATGTACCTGCTGGTACAGGTGAGGAATTATTTCGTGTTAATGTCATGGGTTCATATGTTATAATAGCATTCTTTGATAATTCAATATCAGCAAGTATTGTACTTGCTCGTGCATCAATTGCTTCCCAATTATCACCATATTCATCTGTTGATGTATATAAACGATAATTTGAATCCGATGTTAATGAAAACATTTTACATATATCATTTTTTAAATCTTCTAATTTCGTTCGACGACTACGATAGATTTGTTTAGTTGTTGATGGACTTTGTCGGGATTTACGTACACGTAATGGTACAAGATAAGCTTCAATAACAGTTTGAAAATCGCCTGATTGTATTACTTTACGTATTAATTCTGGACCAATTTTTTTATATTGTTGGACAAGAATTTGATAAAGCTCAAAGGGTATAAATGTATAATCATTACCTTCAACAGCATCCGGACGAAGTTGTACACCATCTGGATGATCAGCTGTAGTTGGATCAATTAGATTTGAAAAATCAATTGGGCCTGGTGTAGCATTTTTATCTGCTTGTGAATCAATACCAGTAGAACGTTTCCAATGTTCAAACCATTTTGAATCAATAATAACATATTTATCATCTACGTTTTGTTCTTGTGATAATAATTTATGATATTGATCAGCTGGATTTGATGGCATAGTGGATAATTTTTTTTTTGTTTTTCGGAGAGTAAAAACAAAGCGCCAAAGTTGGCTGAGAAAGAAGAAGAAAAAAGAACAATCTAGAAATGAGTCAACTAGTTAAGTACTAAATTATAGAACGAATCTTTTGTTTGGAGCAAACAATGTGCAATAGGAGAAGAGATGAAAAAATATGCACTTACAAATATTTGTGCGTCCCACTGAATATAGCAATGCGTCAGTACATAGAAGAAAAGAACTACGCCATCATAATATTATAATAATGTGAAAAAGCCTATTCGTTCATTCCTATCCATAGGTATAACAAAAAAAGAATATATAAAATGACGATTAATTATTATGAGAATAAAAAAGAAAAAGAAAATTCAAAACAAAAATGCATAGATGACTCGCTAGGGTATTTTATGGATAGGCGCCGTCATCCAAATATTAGCTTTTTCATTTCTTTCTTTATCTTTACTCATTTTAATCTCATCATTAAGATAGATCAATGATCGGTGGTGTTTTTATTTATAATCATAAAGGCGAAGTACTTATATCAGTAAGAATCAATTATTTTGGCTAAATTCAATTAACTAAATGATATTTTTCATATAGCGTGTTTATCGTGATGATATCGGACGAAATGCTGTTGATGCATTTCGTGTTAATGTAATCCACGCTCGTCAACAATCACGTTTTCCAGTTGTTAATATAGCTCGAACAAGTTTTTTCTATACAAAACGTTCTAATATATGGTTATGTGCTGTAGCTAAACAAAATATAAATGCTGCAATGGTATTTGAATTTTTAACTAAAATGATTGATATAATGCAATCATATTTTGGTAAAATAAGTGAAGAAAATGTTAAAAATAATTTTGTTTTAATCTATGAATTATTGGATGAAATACTTGATTTTGGTTATCCACAAAATAGTGATACAGGTGTACTAAAATCTTTTATAACACAACAGGGTGTTCGACCAGTAACACGTGAAGAACAAACAGTTATTACATCAGCTGTTACCGGACAAATTGGTTGGAGACGTGAAGGTATTAAATATCGTCGAAATGAATTATTTCTTGATGTT